GAAAATCTCCTCCGCTTTTGAAAGACGGTTAAACGGTTACGGCCATTTGAATTGGCCATATTTTACAGCTGTCAAAATCATGTTATTCATATGAAACAAGGGCCAAGGTCTATTATTTTTACATGTCTTCGAGTATGGGGTTTGATAGCTATCAAATACGGCCTATTCGAACGGCGACACATTTTTTTCTAAAAAAAGGTTATTTACATTTTCTAAAAAACATTCGCAGTATTTCACGCGCCCAACTAATATTCTCCGTATTCGTGTCACGCGTCTGCGCAAGACACAAATACAAGTGACAGCCTGTAACAAAACGTTTGCGAGCACCATCCCGAAATTGTAACCTAATAGAGCGTGCGATCCAAATTCAAACCTAACCTCCTGCCATTTTTAAAAACGGTTACAAATAAAAATGAAAATTAAGTATCTTTATTCCATATTTTATCAATAGCTTTTTATTTACTTCAAAGAATATTTCCATTTTATATACAACACTCGTAGCATTTCACGCACCGTACGCACGCTGTTTCTGTCTGATAATACTCGTATTCTTCGTATTCCTGTTACGCGTCTCCGCTATTACAAGGCACAAATAAAACCAACATTACTACTTTGAAAACCTCCTCCTATTTATTAAATCGGTTACAATAAAATTGAAAATATTATCATATTTCACCTTTTTAGAGAATTCATGAAATTGTACATAAATGTAGCTCAAAGCAACAAGGCAATAAATCCAAAAAAGGTTATTTACATTTTCTGCAGATCATTCGCAGTATTTTACGCGCCCTACTAATATTCTCCGTATTCGTGTCACGCGTCTGCGCTATTACAAGACACAAATACAAGTGACAGCCCAAAACAAAACGTTTGCGAGCGCCATCCCCAAATTGAAACCTAATAGAGCGTGCGATCCAATTCCGAGTTGTACTTCCCTTTCTGTTTTCCTAATTGTCAGAACTTATTCGCCTTTGGCGAGAAACACACGTAGTAACCTCGGTTTGCTTTTTTACCGCTGCGTAACGCACGCGTTACGACAATACGAATTACGAACTTATTCCCATTCAAATACAGTTTACGTCAAACGGTTTGACTGACGCATCCGTCGACGCAGCGTTGTGTTATGCACTATCGGATGCAGCTGTCAAAGCTTTGTTTGAATTACATCGTGTTTGTATGAAAATAAGGTGGAACATCACATTTTCCTAACACATACGATAGCGCTGCGCAAAAATAAGGCACAAGTGAAAGTTATGTGTGTTTATCGCCTATATCAGCGATCGGTCGTTATTTTTTACGAAAAACTGCTTATCCTTTTTTTTCGCTATTATTCACTAGTAGCCGTGTGATGCCGGCTTAGAATAGCATCACCCCAATTCTACCTGTGGGTGACGTAAAAAGCGACTAAGGGATACTTATCCAGGGAATGGGCAGCAGCGTTCCCTGCCAATGCAACATCATGCACTACGCTCGCCAATCCGCTTGCCAAGCGTGATGATTATGGCAGTACCCCCCGATAGGGGAGGCCCATGTCCAGCAGTGGACTATTGTAGCTGTTATGGTTATTCACTAGTAAAATAACAACCTTCATAATCTGTATAATGTATATGTACCTAGCATAAGACTATAAATTAGCAGCACACCAACAAACCAATTTAAGAGACTGTCTGGTTCTTAATACTGTTTATAACAAAATTTAGTATAACATCGATTCCTTAAAGGGGTAGAATGATGTGCTGCTGATAACACCTAATACAAATTCATAAACCCAATTATGCAAATACCGTAACACAGTCACAATACGAAGCCACATAATTGCGTTGATATTGTTAGCTTGAGGGTAATTATTACAACATTGCCAAGCCACCACCGTTCAATCTTCAGCACATTTAAAATTATAATGAGAAATTAGCCATGTCACCACGAGCGTGTGATATTTATACAGGTAATATTGTAATTATGGGAAAACATGTATAATTCAGTAGATCATTATTTAGATTAAAAGTATGTACAGATTGTTAAGGCCAAATCAATATTATTACTACGCCTACAACTGGCATTCAATGTGATACTGTATACCTACCATGGTATTGTGCCATTTGAATGCAAATAAATATGAGTATGAGTATACCGTAAAACAATCCTCTATTTTACGACAACAACAATTTGTCATGCAAGATGCAAGTACGCAAACGAGTTCCTTCCTTCGAACACATTTTATACTTCTAAAAGTGTAAATTATTACATAATTTACATCAATTTGGATATTGAAACGAAAATCACAAACGAGAGAAAGACAAGTAAAATAACCCGGCACAGTTTATCATTAGCAGCAGCTTTGCTTCACATAATTACCAAACTTTCATATGGCAACTTTGTTCAATACCGCATTTTCATATCTATGCCTGTGTTCGCTGCAAAACACTTTTGTGCTTTAGACAAACGAATAATAGACGGAGCGCTTCAAGCAAAGACAGTGAACCACATAAAAATTTTACTTTTGAAACCAAATTTTGTAACTTACAGAGTGCAGTAGCTGTTGTATATGTTTGCTGACGCCCGATTAGTTAAAATATTGTACTTGTAGTGAAATAGCAACTACTGTATTTAATTTTATACAAAACTATTTGATCAATTTATCATACTTCACATATAGTAAAAGTGTACAACTGTATAGTTAGGTGTGTAAGGGGCAGTGTAGGTATATTTTTCAAAGGCTAACGGGACGGAAGATCCGCGTTACTGTTTTTTCAAAGTTGATTAAAATCATAAAGACTATCACGAAATTTTTTGCAACATTTGTAATTGTTTCTTTGCTCACTGCGTCCCGTTTACATTTTTGTTTGTCCCGAGTGCTGCGCTTGAATTTTGTACGCACTTGCCAATAAAAGCCCTCGGACAACTTTTCGGAACGGAAAGTTGAAAATATACCCCGAAGTTGAACAAGCTTCGGTTCTCGTAGAGCGTAGCAAATGGCTACGTAAAATATGTAGGAAGCTACGAAATGGCTACGGTTGTCCTTGCTCATTATTGAATTGACACTTTTCAATAACGGCTTCATACCTATTTTACTACTATGCAGGCCTGGCGCACTCCGCTGCGTAGGTATAGATTTACAAGTACGTGCGGCGACACCCGCGGGGAGGTTAATCAGTGGGTTGCCGCACGCCGCTCGTTACGCACGCGCTCCCACGTTGCCGCTCTTAATTCTTTCTTTGTACTAAATTTACGTAAATTACGCGAAAATGAGAATAAGAAAATACTGCATTGCTTATAATTGCTTGAATAATTCTAGTGATAAAAGCCACAAGTTACCGCGTGACATCGAAAGGTAAGAAAATAGGTACCTACATAGATTCTAGCTATGTAATAAAATTATTATTTACTAGCTGCCCGTCAGCGGTTTCACCCGCTGCAATCTATTATTCCGCGAGAAAATAGCATTATCGCCTCAGAGTTCACGCACTTTTATAATACTTACTAGCTGCCCGTCAGCGGTTTCACCCGCTGCAACCTATTATTCCGCGAGAAAATAGCATTATCGCCTCAGAGTTCACGCACTTTTATAATACTTATAACCTGTTTCCTGTATGAATCAAGGTTTCTCTTCTCGTGGTAAATTTTATACTATGTATACAGTGGCCTGCACCGGCTTTGCACGATTGTAATTTATTTGGGTGGTGTTGGTGGTTAAATAAAACTGATAAAAGTTTAATACTTTAGGGGTTTAAAAATCAAACCCCTGAGACATATATTTACCTTTTTTAGCTCTTTGGCCTTGTCGCAAATTTTAAAACAGATCGCATATAAAATCACGATAATCCATGCAAACTTTTTACCCCATTTTTCCCCGACTGCCTCAGAAAGAGGGTTATGTTTTTCGAGAGTATGTATGTATGTATGTATGTGGACAAGAAAATTCTTTTTCACAGGCTCCAGCCCAAACAGATAGTTAGATTTTGACATATGAGGTGTCATTAGATTCGTCTCAGCAGCGCGAGTGATACTGGCTAAAATTATAGATTCAAGATGGCGGATTTTTACAGCAAAATACTACTTTAAAATTACCGCAGTCGAGTTTTTTGTTTTTTAACACATCTACTTGTAAACTCAGGTGCCGTGTGGTCCCGGCAGAGTAGAATAGCACCACCCCTTCTCTTCCCGTGAGGGTCGTAAGAGACGACCGAGGAATAAATCCGCCCAAGCGAATTAGGGTCCAGAAGAAGGAAAACTCCACATACAAACCCGGAACGGGGTCTCCGTCAGGCGCGAGTGACTGGTAATAAATCGTGCGGCAGACTCTTGCAGCCGACCTGGCTACGCACGTATCGACCCGTCGTTCCTGTGGAGTCAGCCAGGAGCCCAGGAAGGTCGAGAGGGTGGCGCAGGTTCTGGGCAGCCCTGCGTTTTCCATAATTGCGTCCCAGGCAACGCAGTGTCTGTGGAGAGCGTGCAAAAAGCTATGCCGCTCCCATATCGGCTTATACAGCCATGAAAGATTTTGCCTCAGACACTGAATAAATCGTCTGACACAGACGTGTGAGGCCAATGATGATGAGGGGTTATAAATCGAAAACCCCTGAAACGCGCTTAAATTTTTATGTGACAAGTACAGCAAGACCAGTATGTACCATTGGCAAATAATAATATCGTAAGACAAAACATAAATTAATTAAAACATACATACATACATACATCACGCCTTTATCCCTTGCGGGGTAGGCAGAGCGTCAACGGCCGTATAAGTACGGTCGTTATCGCCACGTCTGACACATATTTGAGGGCCGTTTTAGCTATTGTCGTGTATCGCTATAGTGACAGGTTGTCAGCCTGTCGCCTAAAATTGCAATACACATGATACCCTCGAGTCCTTTAGTCGCTTCTTACGACACCCACAGGAAACAAATGGGGTGATCTATTCTAAGCCGGCATCACACGGCAAATTAATTTAAAAAAAATTAAATTAATTAAAAGTTCGATAAAAAAAGCAAAGTAAGGATCATTCTACTCGGGTTCGAACGCGAGTCGTCTTGCTTAGAGGGCAAGCGCATTACCGCTTTGCCAGGTGTGTCTTTAAGGTGCCTGTTGAATTAACGGATATGTTTCCCCACAAAGTGTCCGTAATTTCAAAATAAGCAAATGATTGCCTTTCACGCCAAAACAATGATGATTTCGAAAGATTAGAACAAAATACGAAAAGGTTACTTACAGAAACCCAGCAGTGAGTATTAAAGAACATATCTAGCGATCGTCGATCGCGCATTAAAACCCACCCCATGTACGTGAATTTTGCCTTACTTACTTGCCAAGAGATGTCGCTGTTAGTTTTCGGCGAAAACGTTTAAAACGCGGGTCGGCTCAGTCACGCCACCTATGCAAAAATATTGGATTATGCGTGATCCCGTAGGAATAAGACATTTTCCCGCGGTAAAAAGTAGCCTATGTGTTATTCTAGATACTCTTCTATATTTGTGCAAATTTTCATATCAATCTAATCAGCCGTTTTAGCGTGATGTCGTAACAAACACACACACAAACATCCGCCTTTATAATATTATTAAGTAGGAAGTAGGATTAACGAGGCAAGAATTATAAAATTCAGATATTAATTAATAGTTTTTTATAATATTATTTTTATTGTTTTACTTTTCTTTAAACAAGAAGTAGTCTTCGACATATATTTAAATGGTATATTGTCGCATCCGAGCTCTGTCGGTTTTTTTCAGCTCTTACCACTCAAAATGGCTTCAGCTGTCGGCGCTCATTACCGTGATATGTAAGAAGAGAAGCAAATACAACTTAAAAGGTCTCAAACCCACACACATACTGATAAGAAGCTTGAAGCTGTCATTCTTAATAAAAGATTTTTAGGTATTTGCCATGTTTTCCTTGAAAGCTTGATGGAAAAGCTTTTTGCTTTCTGAAAGTAAGCAAAAAAATACTTTTATCGCAGTTTAATAATCAGAGAAACTCTAAGAATACTAAAATAACGAAGGTACCAAAAATATAAACATCCAATATCTTATGATCTCAAAGGTGCGTACTCAAAGGATCCTCTTAAAACGAAACCGATCTATGTAAATGAGAGTTTAAATATTTAAAGGTGTAGGTATTCAAGTGTGCATTTCGCCCCTCCCTCGGTCCGAGTGTAGTGCGGATGTAGTTATGTTCCGGAACATTTGTTCGGCGACGCTTAAACGGCGAAAAAACGTGACAAGAAAACAAAACCGCCGCATTAAGCCTTCTTTATTGTATGACGCCGACGGGTTTGTTCCCCGTGCAGATTAAAATGTGATATTTATGGGACTACATTGTTTATTTACAAACAAGAGCGGTAAAATTCTGTTTTATTGCTTCAACGATGATTAAAACATTAATGAAACAGTGAGCAATAAATGTATGATGTGGAACGCAATAAAAAAAGTAGTAAACCAAGTGTTGAACTGGTAGTCATTTTAGTAAGTTTAGTTTTGAAATGTCTTTATTCATGAAAATGTATAACAAAGTATTACAATAAAGATCTTATTCTTTATGAACACTAACATATTTATATATTGTTACTCAGGCTAACTCACCTTTTCGAACATTTGCAAGTGTAGGTAAGAACATTTATTATCACTGGTAAAACATATTAACGGCACTGATATTTAACATATTTAAATGCAAATTTTGTAGAGTGGTGGCAACACTGAACGGCCAAGTTGTAAACATTAGAGCTCCGCTTAAAATATTTAATTTTTATATAATTTACTGCCCTAATCAAGTTCATCGCATTAAATAATTATACTATAACTTATAATTTAAGTGTTTTAGTGGATAAGTTTGGCTCAAATCACGTTTTTATTGTAAAAAGTGTAACGGCAAAAACCGTTAGTGATAGCTGTTTCAATATTTGAATATTACAACGTAATTAAGTAAATTCGAGTATTTTAACGAATAGTAATACGTATTTTAAGGGTTTATCGTGTGTGTTTTATGCTAGTGCAAACAAATACGTGTGAAATTACGGCATATTCATAACATAACCTCAATCTTGGTAACCGCTCATTTAACCTACGAGGTACTTTTTCATATTTACTTGTTTTTGCACATTTGTTTGTTTTCAAAATGCATACTACTAGATCTCAAACAATTCGTCAACTAGAGGACAACTTAAAAACAACTTTGTTAGAATTACAAAAGTGTAAACATACAAATGAGCAGTTATTAAGAGAACGGGATGAAAGTGAGCAAGAAATGTTAGATATCATTAATAAAAATCAACAATTAAAGAGTGAAATGGCAGATATGTACCATAAGTTGGTAGACGTAACAGGTGAGAGGGACCAGCTTCAAGGAATAGTGGATAACTTTGACCGGGACGGGAATGCGTTTGAAGACACCTTGAGACGTATCACTGCCCTGGAATACGAATTACGCGATGCACACAAGGAAATTACCTTATTAAATACGACAATCCAAGATCTGAAGTCTGCACAAAGTGCAGTTACCACCCAGTCCCTGTTCGACGAGCTGGTCGCTCCTACAGTTGCGGTTTCTTCCATCTCACTCACCCAGCACCAATCGGTCGAGACTACTGAGGAACAAGTAGTCGAAACTATTGACCTCACAACGTGTGACAGTCCATTCAATAACTCACACAAAACTTCAGTGTCTTATAGCAAGAGAAAAACAAGGAAAATTGTTAAACTTAGCAATTTTATAAAGAAAACGCAATCACTAATTAGGCGTAATAATAATATACTATTTTGCAATAATTCAAATTGTAATAAGGAACGTACTGAATTGATTAATGATATTAAATCTTGCACCTCAACATTGGAACAAAATAGGGAAAATTACGAACGTGACACACAGCGCCTCCAGTCAGAAATGTCGGCTTTAAAACGATCTTTAGAACACATTTCTATTAAATACGATTCAGCGCGTAAGGAAATAAAGGAGCATGTGCTGGCTATGAACAGTTTGTTGAGTCGTGTAAATATAATAGTAATAATGCTCAATCTTTGACAAACAATCAATGCGATTGTAATAAAATTCCAACAAGCTCATCCTTGCCGGCCGTGTGTCCCGAGCCCGCGTCATCACCTCGCGTCTGTACACAGCTGACTGGAGAGCGATCGGTGCCCGTGCCGGTAGCCGGCGCTGCCGCTGCCGCCGACGACGCCGCGCCGGTCTCGCGGCCGGTGCCGATGGCGGCAACGCGGCCCGCGCTTGCGACTGATAACAGCGCTTCTTTATCACGCGCACAAATTGTTATGTTCAGCGATGAATTTGGTAAAAATATGGGCTTACAACTTGGTCAGTGCATGGGTCAGGCAGTAATTAATAATTGCATGCCTGGCGCCGATTTTTCTACACTCTTAAATACAGTGTTGGCATCACAATTTCAAGAAAATTCAATTGTTATTATATTTAGTGGTAGAAGGGGAAATGCGACAAAAAAAGACTTTGCTTTCTTTTCAAACAAATTGTATTCAATGGAAAATGTCAAACAAGTGATTTTTTTTGCATTTCCCTATAGCCAAAAAATGACTAACTTAGAAAATAATACTCGACATTGGTGTAACAAGTACTTACATACTTTGACATGTCGCAATCCTGACAAATTTCATTTCATTGACACCAATATTTATATTGGAAATTATTTCAATGTAACAAAGGATAGATATTATCTATCTAAAGTTTATAAACGACAGATAGCAGAGATACTATCTTATTATTTTAAAAATTCAGCCAATTTGTTGGCTAATCAGACAACTGCTTTTATTAAGCAGAATATCAATACGAACCTTATTACCTTGGAATCGGTTCCAAGTACTTTAAATTAGTGCCTAAGACAACAGAGAGTTACTCTGGCAGTACTTCAACTTCGACATCTCCTACTAAGCTAAGTCAGACTATCTTGCAAAAACAAATTTTGAAAAATAATAATAATAAAAAATGTAAGCATAATAATAAAATTCCAAATAGCCATGTTTTAAAAATTGTACATCAAAACATCGAGGGCATGTTAAGCAAGGAATTAGAAGTTGAGCTTTTCATGAATTGCAATAATATTGATATTCTTTGTGTGACTGAGCATTGGCTCAGAGATTACCAGCTCATGTTCAGTTTTAATAATCACCAAGTAGCAAGTTCGTTCAACAGATCTACGGCAATACGCGGCGGCTCGTTAATATTACTTAAAAATGAGTTTAAATATAAAGAACGCACTGATATCGTTAGCCTGTCTGTTGAGCGAACTATCGAAATAGCTTGCGTAGAACTTGAGCATATTGTTATTATGAGCGTATACAGCCCACCAGATGCTAAATATGATTCCTTCGAAAAAGTTATGGAGGTAGCCTTAGATAAAGCAACAAAATCTAATAAAGGAATTATTGTTTGTGGAGATTTCAATGTAAATATTCTTGAAAACTCTAGTATCAGTAAGAGGTTTCAATCATTATTTTTATGTTACAACCTCGTACATCTTATTTCGGTGCCTACGAGGATCACGGCTACTTCAGCCAGGTGCATAGATAATATTTTACAAATATTAAACCCGTAGACGCGTCTGTCATAAATAAATTAAGCTCTGACCATACCGGTCAGCTAGCTACGTTCAAAATAAACATTGAGAAGGCACCTAAACAAGATATTACGTGTGTACCGGTAAATGAAAGTAGGCTAAATCGGTTTAGAGAAAATATCATAGACAAAATACCAGAATTACAATATGACTTAAATCCAAATAATTTATATAACTCTGTATTTAACCTTGCCAAAACAGAATATGACAATGTATTTAAATCTAAAAAAATTCAAGTTAACACAAAATTGTTATTTAGTGATTGGGCGACGGTAGGAATTCATAAAAGCAGGGAAAAATTGTACGATCTGTATGATGAAAGGTCATATAATAAATCAAAAGCTTTTGCTGATTATGTTAAACGTTACTCTAAAACTTTTAAACAAGTTTGTTCTGTAGCCAAATCTAACTTCATTAAAAATAATATTCAAAACAGCACGAATATAACAAAACTACTTGGAAATTTGTAAATAACGAAACTGGTAAATCGAAACGTC